CCATTTTAACAGGTACAGTTAGATGAGTTTTAACCCATGTGTACAGTCACATAACTATCACCACAGTCAACAGAATGTTGGCACACTTCCAGAGTCCCCTCATGTCCCTTTGTGCCTGGCTAGATCTTTAAGTAGCCAAAGTATTTGTATAACAACAGATCCTTCACTTGGAATAGTTGATACTATCATGTTTGAAAAGGAGGTCACCAAAATTTTATCCACCTAACTCTCCAGAATTCCTGTGTTCTCTCTGGACAGAGCCTCCTACTTGGGGAGCTTTGGTTCGGGAGAGCAGATCTTCGGCTGCTTGCCGCTGCAGGAGTGTCTCTAGTTGGAAGTACTGACCAGAATAGCTTATTTAATATTGGTATTTACCTGTAAAACCAAAATAACATGAACTTGAAGACAGAGGTTGCACTTGCCTTTAATAAAGAGTTTCTTTGAATCAACTCAGAATGGTTTAGATATCCAAATGTAAGAATTATGAAATTATTTAAGTATTAGAATAAAACAAGGGTGAATTTCTTTATAATCTAGATGCGGGGAAAGACTTCTAAACTAGGATTCAAACTCCAGAAGCAATAAAAGGATGATAAATTTGACATAAAATACTTGCATAAAACATTTTTTAAATTTTCACATTGTAAAAATACACCATAAACAAAAATGACAAATTGGAGAAAATATTTGTAACAGATCACAGATGAAATCAAATACAGAAAGAACACTTAACAATGAAAGTTAAAAACTTCTGAAAATCCTGCAGAAAAAAGGGCCAAAGACATAAGAGTTTTGCAGTGGCCCTCACCCATATGAAAGGATTGTCAGATTTACTTATAGTAAGAGAAATACGTTTTGCACCTTCATGATTCTTCCCATAGGTCTCATTGCCATTTGAACTTTTTAAGACCTTTCTCTGATGGCACCAAGGGAGGACTACACGCCCAGGGGCCTGGTGTCTGGGTTTAGAATGAAAATTCATGCACATTTTACTCTCTATTGTTTCTACTGCATTCTAAACAATGTCTGCTCCCAAATTGCAGTTAAAATCAACGTGCCAGAAAGACTTAACCTCTTATTTCTAGCCTAATAAAATTCCTTTCGAAGAATATTTGTAAATAGTGCCTTCAGTTCCTTAAGTGTTTATCAGTGCTGGGATAGGCCGGTGGGAGAGATGGACCCACCTCCTACTGTCGGGTCCCTCCAGCCTCAAGGGTGAGGTGGACAGTGGCACGGGCAGTGTGGCCTTATGAAGGGAGCAGATGAAGCCTGAGGTACACATGGAGCCCTGGCCTGGACTGGCTGGTCATGTGAGCCGGTGCCAAGGGATGTGGGAGGCAGCAAAGCACAAACTGCACACGGAGCCAGGTCGCAGCCTGTGGGAACATCCTCTGACTTGGTTCCTTCAACACTGAGAATAGCTCAGGGTTAAGGTCACCTTTCCCAGTTTCCCTAAAGTGATCCTTCCAGAGCAAGGTCCTTCAGAAGTTTTCCTCGTGCCTACAGGAAGAACACAGGGCACATGCCATCTGGACCCCACTGACCCTCACCATATCCAACCCCCTGTGCTTTCTCTGCAGTAAAGTATCTGCACTTGTCTAAGGGCTCCCAGGTCTGTCGTGCGGCTCCCATTTGGCGCCTCTCTTCCCCCTGCTTGGAACTCATGACCCCTTATGTGCATTCAACAAGGCACTTCTTGTTCTTTAAGACTAGCTTAGGGACTGCTTCTGCAGAGCCCCACAGCAGTGTTCACCATCCACGTCACTGCCCTTCACGTGTGGCCACGATTAGTGTCTCCTACACACAGCAGAAACCCCTCAAGGACTCAAGTAGTTTTTTCCACTGTCACATCTGCTTATAATTGTGCCTGTGTCAGGCAGATACTCAAGAAATATTTATCAAGTAACAATAAGTCCCTTCATCTAGCACAGGAGGTGTCAGTCTCAGCCTCACCTAGAAGCGATTGTACAAACTGCAGATTTGGTGCCACCACCCCACATTCTGGCTGACCAGTTCTGGGTGGGATGCAGAGATCTCCATTTTTAACCAGCAACCCCAGGGAGTCCTGACTGTAGCTTACTGGCCTTGTGGGGTGTGATTTGCAGAAATCTTGACTAGGAAGTTGATAGAGTTATAAGTTGCAGGAGGAATGCATTGCAGATTCACAGGGGATCATGGGATATTTCGTAGGGGTGGTGATATTTTCTCTGTGCCTTGAGTGACAAATAAAAGTGGAATATTGGAAATGTTATGATTGACAGAGAGAGGAGATGGGCTCAGAGGTGAGAATCCTGACCCCTTTGCAGGAGTATGGGAAGTGTAAAGGGTGAAAGTTGAGGCTGGGAATGGGGAGCAGGTCACCTGGGTGCCCTGTTGGAAAAGGGAGGCCTCCAGCAGGGTTTTGAATAAGGACTTGTCTGAGGCTGGTTGGATTCTTTTGCCTTCCTGGGGTTGGAGCCTGACATGGGACTGCGTCATGACAAAGTTGCCTCTCTGCTCAGGTTTTTTTTTAAACTAACATCTGGTGACACTATAACTGCAAAACCTTTCATCTGTAAAAATCCATAGTTCATCTGCCTCTTTATACATTTAAGATGTTTTTTTCTGTAAAGGTCTAAGCAGTAAGTATTTTAGGCTTTGCTGGTCTCTGTTAGGACTACAGCTCTATCATTGTAGCACAAGAGCAGCCAAAGACAATGTGTAAATAAACGAGCGTGGCTGTATTACAATTCTTACTTAGAAACACAGGTAGCGGGCCAGATTGGCAACCCCTGGTGTAAAGAAAGGCACAGTTTAATTTATTGGCTTTTCTAGTCATCAGTAAAAAATAAAAGAGCAGGCAGTCTGTCTTCCTGAGGTTTAGGTGGTGACGTGAGCAAGAGGCACCAAGGCAGGAGCCGAGAACTGACCAGCTTCATGCTGGCTGGCACTGGAAAAAGCCACTCTCATCTTCACTCTTTTTCTTGGAAATTGGCTTTGTTAATTGTGATCTGGGGCTCTTGTTTATTGCTTTCATATGCTCTTGTTGCAGCCTTCTTAAGAATATTCCACTCAAGCCACTGATTTGTGCTGTCAGTCGTAGAGCCCACACTTACTGCTGGGTATTAACACTTATGATGGGTGGTGTGCATGGCCGAAAGGTGAATCCTGCCATGTATAGCTCTTTCCAGATCATCTTGCCAGACTTTTTCTGTTATCACCCACTTTCAGTGGAATCCAGGGTCCCAGCTGCTTCCAACTGAGTGAGCTTCTTTGCAGCAGTGCTCTTAGGGCCTTTTGTCCTGGTTGAGCCATAAAATTCCTGTCCTGAAAGGTGCCCAGGTCAGGTGCCAACGTCAGGTTCAGACCGAGGTCTGACTGAGCAGTGGAACCCAGAGCTAGTCTTTACTTTTGCCACTTCCAGTGAATCACCAGTGCAGTGGGATGGCCATGTTCCTAAGGCCAGGACCTCTAAATGCAACTCTCCATTCGTATTACATTGTGCTAGGATGCATTGCTTGAAATTGGAAGCTATGGTAAAACAGATGTCATTTGGACCATTTGGGATGGCATCCATTTCTAATTACATGCTGACTTCCCTTTACCCTTTCAGTATATTCCTGAAAATTTGTGCTTAAGGAATTGTCAATGTTTTCCCTTTGATATACATTCCCACTTCAGGTGACCTTCACTTCCACTTTGACCGCATTGTGCTCCGGGCCCCTCCGGAAGGTAATGATAACTGGATGGTTGGTGGAGGGCATGCCCATGTGAGTGGCCATCAGCAATGCATCTGGTTTATACTGTGTGGCCTGCTTCCGGGCCTTCAAGCCAGCATCCTGCCTACTCTCCATTGATTTCATTCCATGATTAAAATGGCTAGGAGAGCACTTGTAGCAAGGGAGTCTTGACCCTCGTCAGGCTCAGAATGGTGTATTCCAGTCTCTGGGCTTGCAAAGTGGCTACTGGTCCTTCAGCCAGAGCCGCTTCTGTTTCGTTCCAGTTCCTGATTCACTGTGGGCAGGACTTTCTGTCAGACATCTCAGGGGAGGATGCTGGGTTCCTGTCTTGCTGGCCAGGCCACTAACAAGGCTGCTTGGGGCATTTAAGAAGGATTTGGATGTCTGGGAGTTCCTAGCCCTGCAAACAGAAGGAGCCAATTTTATATTTTGACTCCAAAATAATGTTAAAAATAGTGACTAAGTTTTCATGCTAACCCATAAAGCCACTTTAATACAATGTAGTTGAAATGCTGTACATTTCCAATAATAAAAAAAAGTCAAAATATTTTTAATTTGGGTAGGTAAAGTGTTCATAAAGTCAACATGAAGCATCTAAAATATAATCGAATGATGGCATTTGTGGATCTCTGCATTTAGTTTGAGGATGTGGGCAGGAAATTAAATGGAGTGTCTGCAAGCTTTCTGGGTCCTTTAAAAATGTGTTAGAACACTTAAGTATTTTTTATGATTAAGCAGAGTATTATATCTACTGTCACTTTGTAACTTACAGCTTTCCTTTTCCTCAAAAGATCTAGATCACTAACATGATTTTAATACTTATTCTTCGTGATTCGGGTGGTTTTTGACTCACAAAATGAAACAACAGAGGGAGATAGATATTTTTCTATGATAACCGATAAGAATTTAGAAGGGAGGAGGGGGGTGGTAAGATAGCAGATATACACTGGTGTTTAATAAGGAGCTCATAAACTGAGCAGGAAAGAGGGATGCCCAGTGCCTGAAAACTCCCACCCCCATGGGAAGGGAGGCGATGGCAGGGCCGGTATTGGGGTGCTGGCACTGCCCCACCCTGAAGGGGCCCACACTGGAGCTGCCTGTGGGGAGGAGCAGCAAGAGGGGAGGATGGAGAAGCTGGTAGCCCCGGCTGCGTGGCAGAGGAGGTCTTTGCATTTGCTCATGTGCTGTATGTCTATGGAAAAGACTGTTAAGCTGTCAAATAGTGAACTACCTCGGTAGTTCCCGATGCCGTGATCATGGTTTTGGTCTCGTTTCTTTTAGGTTACCCCTGTTTCAGGCCAGTGCTTTTGCATTTTTGGCCCCTGCTCGAGCCATCCTGTCTTTAGATAAATGGAAATGTAACACCACAGGTAATTGCAGTTATTTCCGCATATGTCATTGGGGTCCTTTAATGCAGGTGATAAAGGGAGGCCTGGACATGCAGCCCCCAGCAGCGTTAAATCCTTTCTGGAATTAGGCACAGAACACACAAACCCACAAACAGCTTAGAATGCTCCAGTCTGTGGATCGTGTCTGTCTCTCTCTTTCTATCCACTCATTCATCCCTAACCCTAAGAGCAAGTAAGGACCAGGAATGACCTCATTTCTCTATGCTAATGAAATTGATTTATATGGGGACGGAATAGAAAAGTATTTGTGCTATTTTTCTGCCTCTCTCTTTCTGTGGATTTTATGACCCACTAGTAATCACTCTCTTTGCTGCGTCAGCATCCCTTCTCTGAAACATCTTTGCTTTTTAAGGATCTGGCTACTGTGGTTTTCTGCAAATGACTTTCATTTCCCTTCCTTAGTGATTGCAAAGATCCTTGAGGAACCCGGTCAGGAAAAGATAGGGAATTTGAGAAAATCAAAGTCAGACCTGTTGTATGCTCAAAATACTGTTACATTTTGAGGTTCTAGGAGCAAAGTTTTCCAGCCTTCATTTCCTTCCTTGCTCCTAGGAGTTACTTGTGACCATGGATTTGATTTAGGAACTGGAAAAGGTCCTCTGTTATCTAGGTTTTTAAAACATCAGTCCAGCAACCTTGCTGTCGGGCACTTCAATTAGCTGCTTGCAAAGGTTGGCTTTTTGCGTGAGGCTGGTACTAGTAACGTGCATCACTTCAGTCAGCTTTTGACAAGTTGGGGAGCTCTCAGTTGATGAATACATTTGTTTAAATTAGCATGGGGGAATCCACCTTTCAGTATAAGCCGTACTGTTGTAGGTTGAATTGTGGGGATGGGTAATGACACAAATATGCTTAAAGCAGGGAGGAAATTCTCCTTAAAGGGTAAAATTAATGTGTCCTGTGAAACATCAGTGTCACTCCAAGAAAACTTTGTTTTTGCTTTTGTTTTCAAGATGTTTCAGTTGCCAATGGAACAGCAGAACTGTTGCACACAGAACACATCTGGTATCCCCGGATCCGAGAGGTAAAAGACGAGTGTTGTGTGCTTGTGGCTTCTTTGTGTTTCTTCTTAGCTTTGATGTTGGTTGCACCCAAGAAATCACAGTTGCTTTTACTTAGCACTTCTTTTCTTTCTCAACTACCAAAGCTTCTATTTCTGTTGATAAGTGGAAATGTAATACCACAGGTAATTGTTGTTAACCTAAATTTAGTTAACATCACTTGAGACTAAAGCATGTGGAAATGCTTTGTTTCTTTTCTCCTGCCGACCCACACAACTGTCCCTTACACTCTCCAGCATAACTTGCTGAGGCTCACAGCTCACTAGAAAGTGCCACAGAGCCAGCAGGATTGTTCGTTCTGACCTCAGTGTTTGCCTGTATTTGTTGAAAAAACTAAAGACATTTGTCTGCCAAAGTGCACTTGAAACAGAACAGTGTGGGGCAGTCCCCAGACTTGAAGAATGGCTTCTAGTTTATTCATATTTCCTGAAACCCGTGAGATCATTCGCCATTTGTTCAGAATTAGCACAGATACGGCTAGTCTGCACAGCAGAAACATTCCTTTAGAATTTTTGTCAGTAACACTATCTTTTAAATATCCTGCCAGGACTCACTCTTTAAAGCCAAGAGTCTTTGTAGTGCTGTATTCCTATAAAGCTGGTTATTTTGAAATGTTGTGTTTCTTAAATGGGAATTAAGAAATTAATTTCATCTGCATCATTTATCAGCAGGAAAGGCAAGTGGGCTTGTGTTCAGTGCCCATCTCTGTTATACTCTTATAGCAATGATGTCATCCTTAAGTGTGCTAGGCCCCAATTAACCCCACTGAAGTTTCTTGTGGGGTCCCAGGGAATTTTCTAGCTATCTCATACCTGTTATATAACATAGTAATTTGTTGCCTTCCAGAGTTAGCAATTGTGGTTGCAGGTGACATTCGGAGTGTTGGACCTACAAGCAGCTCACTCTCACGTCTGTCCCATCTCTTATTCCAGATCCAGGGGGCCATCATCATGTCCTCATTGATAGAAGTGGTCATCGGCCTCCTAGGCCTGCCTGGTGCTCTGCTGAAATACATCGGGCCTCTGACCATAACGCCCACGGTGGCCCTCATTGGCCTCTCTGGTTTCCAGGCAGCAGGGGAAAGAGCTGGGAAGCACTGGGGCATCGCCATGCTGTAAGTGTTCAGAGGCCATTCAAGAGTGCATAGTGAAAACCTCCCCTCCTCCCACCACTGTGGGACAGTCTTTTGGAACATTCAGACTTTAGGAAATTATTTTGTTTAAAAAAGAAAAAAAAGAATGATCTGACAGGTTAAACTTTATTACTTCATGCTAGGAATAGCTGAAGAGATTTTTAGACCCAGGGGTTGGGAAATGACATGTAGTTGAGGTATTCCAAAGATAGACTTGGCAGTGATGTGTAGGAGGGAGGGTTATAAGGTTTTAAACTTTTGTAATGGGGTGAGATGGTGGCGCCATTAGCTCTTGACTTTTGAGGTCATGCCAAGTCTCAAACGCATGAGTTAAAATACCGAGAAGCCAAATCCTTTAGATTCGACTCAAAAACACTTCCAGACTGGCAGAGACAGAGATGTGGCAGGAGGGTTTATTGGCACTGGTGGTGCAACTCAGCTCTCTAGGCTGCACATAGCTGCGCACGCATGGGGAGGCCGTGGTTTCTGCCAGAGTCCTGCTAGTCAGTGATGAGCTGAACCTTTTGCGTAGAACTTCACCTCCATTAAAGATGTCCCTTGCCCCTTCAGGTAATGTCAACATTTTTTATTAGTGAAGACATACAAGACTTTGATAATATTATAAGATTGATGATTAGAGTCATAAAATTCTGTTTACCACAAACAGAGCCCACCTTCTCTTTGTGTGTCTGTAGAGCATATGTAAGAAATGATTATATCGTAGGTAAATGATACCAAGACCCTGGAAATTTACCAACCAGTATTTCTAAAACAAAGTAAATAATAACATAAGAGGATTTTTAATTTTTTTTTTGTGCTTTGAGAATTATTCTGTAATTATTTAATAACAGGCAACATTTGTTGAGTCTTTACTATGCATAAATGCTTTACATAACACTTCTGTATAAGATAAGGTGGCACCTATAGTTATTCCTATGTAATAGCTGAAGAAACAGGCACAAAGATGCAGTGTTACTTGCCCAGAGTCACACAGCTTGTAACTGGCCAAGATGGGTTTCAAAACCCAAGTGGTCCAATGGGAGCATAACTCATTACACTCCGTCTTGCTTCTGTATATTAGAACCTGATGTGCAAATAGTGAATCGTAGCATAATTGTAATCCATACATCATTACAAGTTAAATTAAGGTATGTAAAAATATCCAAGATTGTTCTTAATTTTCTTATTTCACCAAAGGCTGGTTAAAACATTGCCCACACCAGCATGGGTGTGTAAATGTCATATAAGAATGTTCATGCAGTGAAATGCAATACATGCCAAAAAAGGAGAATTTGTGTTTATAACACAGTAAAATTAGAAACCAATAACAAAAGGATGAACAAAAAACTAACTGCTTAGGGCTGGCCCGGTGGCGCACTGCTACAGTGCGCCGCTTGGGAAACATGGCGGCGCTCCCGCCGAGGGTTCGGATCCCACATACAGACTGGCTGCTCACTGGCTGAGCGAGGAGCGGGGGCAACACCGAGGGTTGCGATCCCGTTGCCGGTCCCGGTCCGGTACGGGCGCGACACTGAGGGTTGCAGTCCGTTGCCGGACACGAAAAAAGACAAAAAGGAAAAAAAAAGCGGCGCTCCCGCCGAGGGTTCGGATCCCACATACAGACTGGCTGCTCACTGGCTGAGCGAGGAGCGGGGGCAACACCGAGGGTTGCGATCCCGTTGCCGGTCCCGGTCCGGTACGGGCGCGACACTGAGGGTTGCGATCCGTTGCCGGTCACGAAAAAAGACAAAAAGACAACAACAACAACAACAAAAAAAAACTAACTGCTTAGAGGCTAAAAAAAAATTGTTATAAATAACTCTTAGAGAAGAAATTGAAACTTCACAATGACTGATAATTTGGCATATGATGACAACAGCAGTACTCATCACATGTAGAGGGTAGCCAGAGTTGTTTTCGAGAAAACTCATTACCTTTAAGGCAAATAAAGTACAGATGCTCTTTGACTTAAAATAGTGTAATGTCCAGATAAACCCTTTGTAAGTTGAAAGTGTATTTAATACACCTAACTTACCAGACATCATAGCTTAACCTAGCCTGCTATAAACATGCTCAGAACACTTACATTAGCCTATAGTTGGGAAAAATTATCCAACACACAGCCTATTTTATAACAAAGTTATTATAAAGAATTCTGAGTCAAAATTCGAAGTATGGTTTCTACTGAATACGTATTGCTTTTGCACCATCATGAAGTATAAAAATCATAAATCATGCCATCCTAAGTGCGGGACTATCCGTACGTGAGGAATTTCAGTAGCTAGAAAAACAGGATAAGAAATAAACCTAACAAAAGCAGGAGTAAAGAATAAAGATACAGAAGATATGAAACAAATAGGAGTGATACATCTAAAAGCTGGTCCTTTAGCAGACACTTGGCGCAAGGCTAACGGCTAATAAGATGTGATGAGAATGAGTGTGTATATAGAGGGGTAAATCCTCAGATCCAGGGAAGGCAAGTTATATCTATGCTGCCTGCCCCAAATTTAAAAAGAGAAGTAATAAAATGGTTTTCCAGAAAAGCCTAAGTAACCAAAATTGACTCCTCCTCGCTCTTACCTCCCAATGTTGGGGCTCCTGAGATGGTGATCCTGGGCCTCCTGGCTCCCCCAGGAGCTCATCTTTTCCATAGCCTCCACACACGTCTCTCGTGCTGGAGACATCCGCACAAACCTCTAGCTCAGACCTGCTGACTCCAGACATGTAGATCTAGCCCCACCCTTGCCCTCTCCACTTGCTGCTACACAAGACGTCTCCAACTCTAAGTGAAAAAGCTCCAGACTTTTGATTCCCTCCTTCCCTGCATGCCAGCTCCTTCTGTCTTCCTCCTCTAGGTAAATGGCACAGCCATGCTTCTGGTTGCTTAGGCCAGCAACCCTGGCGTCGCTGTCCCTTCTCCCTTTCCCTTGTTCTCCGCATACAGCCCATCATTCTCTTCTGCCTCCAGGGCAAATCCTGAATCTGTTTTCCTCTCTGGGCTTCACTGCCACCACCCTCACAAGGCTCCCCCTCGGCTGTGCAGTCCTCACTGGTCTCCAGCTTCTCTCCTTCTCGCTTCCTGTCCATTCTCAGTCCTGTAAAATGTCAGCCATGCATGCTTTCCCTACCTCCTCCTCTCTTCTCTCCTTTTGTTCATTTTGTTTGTTTTTAGTGGCCTGCTGGTATAGAGATTTGAACCCTTAACCTTGGTGTTTTAACACCAATCAACTAAGCTAACTGGCCAGCCCTGTGTTCTCTTCTTTTGAGACTCCAATTAGACACAAGCTAGAATTCTGGAAGATTTTAGGGCAGTTCATGGTCCCAGTGTCTGAAACCTCACCTGCTGCCCCTTGGTGGGTTTGCTAACATCTCTTGGGCTGGGCACTCGGAGCCCTTTCTCTCTGGAAACTCAGGCATGCAGCGGTGGGAAATGATCTCGAAGTATTTCCCAGATGCCTTTCCTCCACTCACTCGTGCTTGTCTCTTTCTGGACTTTCCAGGATGTTGGACCTCCTGGACTCTTCCTCTACTTTCCTCTCTTGTTTTCCATCTTTTTGTCTTTTATTCTCTATTTGTGGGAATTTTCCTGAGCTTTCCCTTTAATCCTTCTTTTGAGCTTTTCATCTCTGCTCTCATTTTTAAAATTTTTCCAAGAGCTCTTTGTCCTTAGGATGTCAGCTCTGCGAGGGCAGGGCCTCTGCTCAGGGCCAGTCAGCTTGGCATCCCCAGCACCTGGTCCACCTGTTGCAGAGCAGGCGCCCAGTAAGAAGTTGTGGATTACCAAGGGAAGTGCGGGAAGCAGAGTAAACCCATGACCATGGGAACAGTCAAGAATGTTCTTGAACGGCTTGGATCCCTAAAAGAAGCCCTGGACCCAAATAGTTAGACATTGATTGTATTAAATCTTCAAGGAAGAGAGAATTTCTGCACTGTTTAAACTGTTCTAGAGCTTTGAGAAAGGAGGAAACTTCCAAGTCAGTTTTGTCTTAATGGCAAATCCTGACTGAGCTAATACGAAAGGAGAACCACAGGCTATCATTTTCCTTCCTTGGGTTGTGTAATGAGAAGCCCCGAACTGATCTGCAGTCTTTGGGTATGTCCCACACAGAGGTTTTGTCTTAATGGCAAATCCTGACTGAGCTAATACGAAAGGAGAACCACAGGCTATCATTTTCCTTCTTTGGGTTGTGTAATGAGAAGCCCCGAACTGATCTGCAGTCTTTGGGTATGTCCCACACAGAGTTTTGAGTTCAGCATCTTTCTCTACTGTAAGGCTTTTTACAATCTTTTAAAATGCCAGTGTGCGAAAGACTCTTCCCAGAAAAGGACCTTAGTATTCAGCCCTGCCCATACGTTATTTATTTATTTATTTATTTTTAATTTTTTTCCTTTTTGTCTTTTTTTACTGACCGGTAACGGGATCGCAACCCTCGGTGNAACCCTTGGCGGGAGCGCCACCGCGCTCCCAAGCAGCGCACTCTCCAGTGCGCCACCGGGCTGGCCCGTAATTTATTATTTTTTTATTTTATTTTTTTGTCTTTTTTCGTGTCTGGCAATGGACCGCAACCCTCAGTGTTGCGCCCGTACCGGACCGGGACCGGCAACGGGATCGCAACCCTCGGTGTTGCGCCTGCACCTCGCTCAGCCAGTGAGCAGGAACCGGTCTGTATGTGGGATCTGAATCCTCGGCGGGAGCGCCACCACACTCCCAAGCGGCGCACTGTAGCAGTGCGCCACCGGGCCGGCCCCGTAATTTATTTTTTTAATGACACATCTATAAGCATGTCTTGGAAGAATGTTCCTTGGAACATTATTTGGGAAAATACTGCTATAGACAGTACAATGAGAGAATGGTGTGTTATGTGTTATTTCAGAAATTCAAGTATGATTAAATATTAGAAAATTTATTAAAATCCAGCATGGCTCCATGGTAGATTTTGTTAAGTTTTTACTAATAAAAACCATGCTGACAGTTTTCCTAAACAAAACAAAACAAAACGCTTTTTTTTTTTTATTATGAAATTCAGTCTACATCTCTGAAGCAAACTGTTAGCAATGTGATAATAGAAGGGTCTCACATGAATAAGGTTAAAAATGCCTCAAATGTGCCTCAAAAATGTCTTTAATGGACTCAAATCAGGACTGTCTGTTGAAATCAGCAACCAAGATGAGCATGTTTACTATGACTGGTATCATTTAAAGTTGTTCTGAATGTGCTAGCCAATGCATAAGACAAGAAAATAAAACAATAAGGATCAATACCAGAAACGTCAAGGAGAAAGGAATGATGATTTGCCTTTATAGGAATTAAATACATTCCAGAGCTTCATAAATAATACTGTGGTCCCGGGACAGCGATAGACATTGGTAGAGCAGAGTAGGAGGGATGGAAACCAAACCAAAAAAAAAAAATATTTAGTAGAAGATAGCAATCATTTGAAATCAGTAGGGAATGAAATCACTTGAAATCAGTGGGGAATTTTGTAAGAAAAATTAGATAACTTTTTGGAAAAAAGCTAGAATCCTAGTTTATATCAAATGATATTTCAATTGTGAATTAAAGACTTAAATATAGAAAATAAAACCATAAAGGTGGTAGAAGTAAACCTACGTAAATATTTAATCATAAAGTAGGGAAGACTTTCGTAAAGCAGGTATTGAAAAGAGAATGGCTGATAGATTTTACTATTGATGCACTTAAAACACATATCAAAAACCACTGAGGGCTGGCCTGGTGGCGCACTTGGTAGAGTGCGGCGCTTGGAAGTGCGGTGGCGCTCCCGCTGAGGGTTCGGATCCCATATAGAGACTGGTCCGCTCACTGGTTGAGCGCGGTGCGGGCGCGACACCGAGGGTTGCGATCCCGTTGCCGGTCGCGGTACAGGCGCGACACTTAGGGTTGCGATCCTGTTACAGGTCATGAAAAAAGACAAAAAGGAAAAGAAAAACAAAAAAAAACCCCACTGAAACTGAATTAAAAATGAATCTTGGGAAACGTTTACAAAAATTTTATAGGAAAGATTTATGTTCCCAATTCATAGTTTTACTAATTTAAAAGAGAGAATCCCAGTGAAGTATGGATGGAAGGACATGATGTGAATGGGTGTTAAAGCAACAAAGGAAATACAAATAAGCTAATCAATGTGTCTGTACAGACATGGGTTCCAGAGTCACACCAGTAGAGATGGAGTTTAGAGACATTCCCAGAGGAGGTTAAATGTGGCAAATTAGTGGCTGCCATTTTTAGCATAATGCATAAGTCCTTGGTAGCTTGATAGGAACTGTTTTTCCTGGGAAAAATTTATTTTTTATTTACTTTTCTTATGGAAAAGTTCAAACCTATTCAAAAGTAGAGAGAATAGTATAATGAACCCCCACATACCATCACCAAACACTCAAGAACAGACTCATTTTATCTGTACCCCACCATTTCTCAGCCCCCTCCAACTCATTTAAATTCTAATCATTTGGAATTTAGCAGTAAACAGACAAATCTAAAGTCAGAGTAGTCTCCTACCTCCTTCTCTTTCAAAAAAATCCTCTTGATTGTTGACTAGTAAACTGTTTATCTTTCTATATTTTTATATTTTTATGCCAATAAACACAAAGATATGCACACATGCAGCTTTAACATCATATTACTTTGTAAGCTGTTTTTCACCCCAACCATTTGTTGGGCTTACCTTTCCAAGACAGTATGTTTAGATTGGTCTCATTCTTTGCAGAGCTGCACAGTGTTAAATATAAGTATGAATAGTCCATAATTTATCCATCCGTTCCCCAGTTGATACTCATGCATGTTGTTTAAAATACTTGCTATTAGAAACAATGCTGAAATTTGTATCCTCATGAATACAGAAAAAATATTGAAATAAGTGATGATACAATCTTTTTCATTGATGCAATTGGTAGGGATTTAAAAGTATGATAAGACCCCATGTTGCAGTGAGTAGCAAATGGACATTCTTGGTCTCTGGGTGGGATTATGCAGTTATTTATGTTGTTTTTGATATCATACAGTTATGGGAATTGTTAAAACACCTGTTAGGAAGCAGCATGTACAGTATAATCCCAATCTGGGTTAGATAATGACCTGTTCATGCCCCAAGGACAAGGATGATGGCAGTTAGTCTGTTTCCTCTGACCCCGATGCATGGCAGCTAGTGAATATCCAGAAAGCCATTCGAAATAGACCAAAATGTTATGTGGTTTTATTTCCTGATAGGGGGATTTGAGTGATCTTCAAGGTTTTGTCTCTTTCTTAAAATTTTCCTACAATTTAGTATGCATTACTTGTATGATATTAAAGTAAAAGAAAGGTCAGCAAAAAAGCCAAATATAAACATGAGGTGGGAAGCACCCAGGATAATAGACGGTACTCTAGGCTGAGGATGTAGGGCAAAGACCCTTGTCCCTACTCTACTGGGTCAAGGCATGTGAACATAGGCACACCCCCACCTCTGAGCCTCTTCTCCTGCCTGTCTGTCGTGGGAGTGCCTGCCCCACCTGCTACACAGGTATATTTGAGGATAAAAGTAAACTGGAAGTAGATGGGTCTTAAGAGTGTTCATCTGTCCAATGTGCTCACTTAATTTGAGTTGCTAGACTTGGGCCTAAGACCTGGGTAGCTTTCTGTCGTGCAAGGGTAGTGCAAGCCAGAAGCAAAGCCAGTCTCAGGACCCAGACCAAGCTCCCAGAGTAGATGAAGGTTATAACTTTTAGGGATCTAGCTACAGGAGCTTTTATGTATTTAACAAGGGGACTGGGTTATTTCTATGCATATTCAAGGATGGGCCTGCACGCGCAATGCGACATGTATGTTACATGTGACCCATGTTCTTCTGGGAATGGAGATTTAAGCATTAAAATGAAAGGGGGTTGACCTTATGTCATTGAAAGTTAAAGTTAGGGGCAGTGTCATGCATAAACTCCCTGGCGTGGCCCAAACTGGTTTGGTTTAATTGGCCGTTTGGCCTCAGTTTCTATCAATCACTTTCTCATTCAGTCAGAATTATTGAATTTCTTGCTCAGTTAGAATTGTTCAGTCAGAATTGTTGGGAGGGAAAGAGAATGACTGATTAGGGAGAGAAAGAAATTAAGGGGGTAGCTCTTAATCAAAGAGGAGTATGAGTTTGGTAGCTCTCACCTCCTCATGTTCTGTGTGTGTCCCCTGTCCCCTCTTAAATGTGCTTTGAAAAGTGAGCACCACAATGCAGGTGGGTGTTGCCTGAAATAATGATAACAACAATAGCAGATTTGGGCTTTTTTGGATCTCATGGTATTCACTTTGAAACAAATAAGTAGCCTTTTTTTTTCTCCCCCATGTGGGTCTAAGTTTAAAATATGCCAGTTTTAGTACTCCTCATTGCCATATTTGTTAAACTTCACTATCTCAGAGGAATTGAAATAACTTGGGCACCATGTGTATTCTCAACCTTGAACTGGTACTGGCAGAGACCCCCACTGGAACACCAGTTCACCGAAGTGCTGAGTAGCCAGGGAGACCTGTGGAGCAGCACAGGCCTGCTCTCCAGCTGGGCTGCAGTCCGTACCTCTTTAGGAATGTGACAATGAAGCTGCACTTGACCACTGTCGATGGAGCTAATAAATCCTTCTCAGCAGTTGGAACTGTGCCCAGGAATAATTAAGTTTAGCTTTGACTGCCAACTCTACCTCAGGTTGTAAGTGAAAGAGTGAATGAGTCCACGTGGAGGATTAGACACATCATTGGGCTATTAGATACATCATGGTGTGCCTTTATTGTTTCGGGGTTGAGTAATTCCACCCAGGAGGATGGGAAGTGGTCCCACACCTACCAACCATGAGGATCACCAGACGTATGATCCTGCTGCAGGGAGACCACCGCCTGTCACTACTCCTGTAGTGCTTGGTGCGTGTCACTTAGGAACTTGAGGCTCAAGGGAGAGGGACCTGTGCAGCCAGCCCAGGCATCTCTGTCTTATGACCGGCGTGTTGGTAGTTTAGAGCTCAGCTTGTAGAGCTAGACGCCCAGCCCCATCACATCACCCTCGCAGTGTGATCTTGCATCTCCGGTTTTGTCTCTGTAAAAGGGGCTGATCCTGAATACCACCCATGAGGCTGAGGCAACTCACGGGAAGACCTCAGCATGATGTCTTGTGCACACAGACCTTTCAGGAATATTACTAATACTGAATTCTACCCATACAGTTTTCTTAAACATTGGTGTTTTACTTCTTGCTTTTTAAAAGTAATTCATGCTCATTGTAAGTAAATCAGAAAATATAGAAAAGTAGCAAAAACAAATCATATCACCACCCAAAGTCAGTCCCTGTGAGCATTTTGGATCATGTCCTTCTCACATGTTTGTGCATGTGTGTGCAGTAGTTTCTTGGTTTGCTTTATAGGTAATTCGTAGTTGTAATTATTCTGTGCTATATCTTCTATCTGGCATCTTTCTCCCTCACATAATGTGAGCTCCTCCTGTCAATGTGTACATTCTCTCTGTTCTCTTATTCTACTTAGGAAAATTTATCCAGAACATTTACACTGCAATTTCATTCTGTTATCAAGAAATGCTAGGTAAATGGGTTGTAACATCTCCAAAATGGTATTTCCAAAAGATAATGATTTCCTAAATAGTACTTAAGAGAACTAGCCTCTTTCTAGGTAAATGAATTCAACACATGTAGTCAATTTTGCCACTGAAGCTTTGAGTATTATTTTAAAACACAGACATAACAGCCTTTAACCTAATTTATTTATTTTTTTTCCCTTCTCAGGACAATTTTCCTAGTATTACTGTTTTCTCAATATGCCAGAAATGTTAAATTTCCTCTTCCTATTTACAAATCCAAGAAAGGGTGGACCGCATACAAGTTGCAGCTTTTCAAAATGTTCCCTGTGAGTAATGGACTTTTTTCCCCCTGACAATATTGCCTTTGGTTCATACATAAAATGTTTATGTGAAGGGAGGGTTTTCAGCAAGCCCTCCTGGGGCAGGACCCTGTCTGTGCGGTGATATCAGGGTACTAATGACCACCCAAATCATCATGGACTTAAAGTTTAGAAGCAGTAGAAGGTTCCAGTTCTGAAATTGGAGCACATCCTTTTAGCAGTGCTGGAGAAGGAGGAGATTGTCCTTGGGACTAAGTGAGATCTGACTCCATGTGGCCTCTGCAGGCATGATGTCCATTCTTATTTTACTACCAGACTTTGGAAGGGTTAAAGTAAATTTACCTGTGTAAAACTGCTCTCTTGCCCTCCAATTTCATTCAAGGAGTAGATCTGCAAAGTACTGACCACCGTGGGTCCTGGGGTGTGGTGTTCAGACTGTAGAAAGGTGTGTGATTTGCTAACAACCACTAGCTTTGTTGGGCTGACAGCTTTTCCCCTCAACCACTTCAGATAATCCTGGCCATCCTTGTGTCCTGGCTGCTCTGCTTCATCTTCACGGTGACAGATGTCTTCCCTCCTGACAGCACAAAGTACGGCTTCTACGCTCGCACAGATGCCAGGCAGGGCGTGCTACTGGTAGCCCCGTGGTTTAAGGTTCCATACCCATGTAAGTATTCTCGTGTCTAGAGGGGTTAGGAGCCCAGAAAGGCCCAATTTTTAGGGGTTGGAAGTTGGCAGAGTTGGCATAAAGCTTAGTTAGCAGCACGAAAAGCCTTCTTTGTCCCAGAATGTCTCCTGAAGGTCTCGCCATTCTGGTTATTAGAGGATTAGACAGCATTTTCCCCAGAAGGCAATGATTAACACACACAGACTAATCAGCTCCCTTCTCCAATTAACTGATTGGCTTTTTTGGCTCTGCTAGGATGAAATCCCAAATGAGGGGTCTCTTTGCTGCTTTGAGCTCTGGTGGCCAGGATTTGAGGGCATCTGCTTAGAAAGGCAAATACAGGGCTGCTTGGTACCAGATCTGCCAAATTGAGAAAGGTTTGGAAATTAGAAAGCAAACTGCTCGAGCATGGCGGGATTTATATAATCTTTTAATGAGTAGCCATAATCTTTTAAATTTGGTCACAGCTGTAGAGGTAAACTGAAAATCACAAATGGCCGGAGAATGGATCTTTGGCTATAATTTGTGTGTTGGGTAACTCTCAGGGGAAGATAATATGATCCACAGCTGAGGTATCACCTGGATTCACATGTAACATTTCTACCTCCTGACTCCAAAAGTGACTTGTATGAACCCAGTGGTGGTTGTTATATGCCTCATTGTTCTATTGTGAAGACTCTATTCCCAGCATTTGAGGTTTTTATTAGAATTGAAGCCTGAGCTTTGTCAGGTTGAGCTAATTTATTCCCCCGTTTAGCTGTCTTATTTTCATATTTTATAAAGACAAGAAGAAAAAGCAAAAAAAGCCAAGAATATTAAGGTTGGGTCAGAGATGACTCCTCTAAGCATGTTGCATGATGATGATATTGGCAGTTGTTCCTGTTGTTCTTGATATGTTTTATGAAAGCTTCGTAAAGTTTAGTCTTTCCAAAATAACATTGTCATCAGATCATGTGGTCTGATTGTATATTTATATACACCTCTTCTTTTCCCTAAAAAGAATGTGCATGGTTCACGAACATACCTATAATCTGAGATGGAATGAGATTAAAAATCACATGGTGAGGCAGTCAAGGAGAGGCACAGGTGGCTCCTTGTGTGAGCACCAGCAGGACATGGTATGGGTCATCCAGGAGAAGCAGCTGCTCATGTGCTGAAACCAGAGAGATTTCCTGCAGGGACCTCGAGCCATGCATGAGGAGGCAGGACTTAAAGGACAGGGCAGTTCACCAGCTCCTGGCAGTCAGAAGTTGTCGTTCAGAGGTGCCCTACACGTTCTCTTACTGCCATCAACAACACCCAGTGCTCTGTTCACTAAGTCACACCTGCTCGTGCATAGCCCCTGAAGACCCTGCAGGAAATCTCCCTGCTGTAAAATAACAAAATAAAAGGTTCTACTTAAAAAGAAAGATGAAATAACAGATTTAAGAAGGAAGACTGGTAGCCAACAAGGTTTTATTTATATCTAAAGGAAAGGATCAAAATAACAACCCACTCCCCCCCACCAAATTAAGACACTAAAATGAAACCATAGTTCTGTAACAGTAACATGGTAGCAGCATAAAAGCTTATTTAGAAAAAGCAAAATGTTGGTTGGTTAAGAAGGCCTCAGAGTGAGAAACATTCATTCCAAGACAACCCGGAGATGAGATGTTGACCCAGCATGGTATTGATGGACAGAGAACGTGCCACATCCCATCTGTGGACCTGTATACCTTGCACCTCTGATCAAGGGCTGCCTCTGCATTTCCTCACTGCTCCCTCAGGGTAGAACAGCCCCAGGCAGGAGCACTTCTACCCCCAGACACACTCCAGGCACATCCTGCACATCTTACCTTATGTGTCATTCTTCTTTTCCCAAATGTGTGGTTGCTCCCCATTACCTATGACCCATCGCCCAGGCCCCTCTAGATGGCTTATAGAGTCGTTCCCCTCTCACCCACTGCTGTTCATGAGCCCTCTGCTTCCACCAGAATGCCCTTTCCACTCGCTGTCTCCCTCTCCAGACCCTCCACATCCTTCGGGGGGCACCTCCGTTTCCACCTCCTCCTCCTCCAATCCTTCCCTGGACAGGGACTGACTTTGCCTTTTCCTGGCTTCCTCACTTATACTTTTGTGACCTGCGCTCAGCTTGCTTCCCTTTGAGTTTGAACCATTACACTGTTCTGGATCTTTCGGAGTGTCCTGTTGTTCCTCAAGCTACATTGTAGGCTCCGGCATGGGAGACCATGTTTTATCCATCATTCATTTCCCATTGTGGTTTATGCTGGGTGGTTGTATTATAGCTAACAGTTCACGGGAGGAAGGACTAGCCACTTTATAAAAGGAGTCTGTTCATCCTAACAGTGGAAAAGACTCATGCGATTCTTTATTAAATAAGGTCTGTGGCTTTCAATATGCAAATAGATATACTTTTTTTTTTTAAAGATGACCGGTAAGGAGATCTTAACCTTTGACTTGGAGTTGTCAGCACCACACTCAGCCAGTGAGCCAACCGGTCATCCCTATATAGGATCCGAACCCGTGGCCTTGGTGTTATTAGCACCGCGCTCTCCCAAGTGAGCCATGGGCCAGCCCTCAAATAGATATACTTTTAAAGAAAAAAAAATCCAGTGAAGGATTAAGTAAGTCCACATACTTAAAATGAAACTACAATGGGACTTCTCTTTGCTTTCTTAAATGAAACTAATTTTTTTTTTCTTCCTTTTTTGTCTTTTTTACTGACCGGTAACGGGATCACAACCCTCGGTGTCGCGCCCGTACCAGCCCGTACCAGGGACCGGCAACAGGATCGCAACCCTCGGTGTTGCACCCACACCGCGCTCAGCCAGTGAGCAGGAACCCGTCTCCACATGGGATCCGAACCCTCGGCGGGAGCGCCACCACGCTCCCAAGCGGGGCACTTCTCCAGTGCGCCACTGGGCCGGCCCATGAAACTAATTTTTTTATAACATGGTTTATGATTTACTTAAAAAAGAAGTACCTGTAATACTTACATAGTAGAGAAGGGTTAACTGTTAGGATTTAAATCTACCTGGTGATTTTTACTGCTTTTTCATTCGATGCTACCCTCTGGGCAAGATAACTGCTTTTTTGTACCATGCTCTGCTTAAATCCCTTTCATATGAATTTCTATCCCAACACAGCAGGCCATGTGAAATTGTTAACAGATACTAAGCATGACTTTGAAGCAGGGAGAGAAGCAACTGTATCTCCCAGCCAAGCAATTTCTTCTTTTAAATAAAGATGCAAGGGCCGGCCCCATGGCACACTCGGGAGAGTGTGGCGCTGGGAGCGTTGCGGCCCTGGGAGCATAGCAGCCCTGGGAGCATAGCGATGCTCCCGCCACGGGTTCGGATCCCATATAGGAGTGGCCCACTGGCTGAGCGCGGTGTGGGCGACGCCACACCAAGGGTTGCGATCCCCTTACCGGTCACGAAAAAGACAAAAATAAAATAAAATAAAATAAATAAATAAAGATGCAGAGCAGATCAATCCTCGTTATGGCCATCTTCATCAGACTCAGTATCTCTTCCCAGGCATCTGGTGTATTGATGATTAAGATTTAAAAATAAACAGTTTTCATAAGCTTCAAAATCCAAGTGGATCTTGTAGAGTCCTGAGGTTCTGAGTGGCCCGACGTCCTGGTATCTTTTGCCTGCCCCTCTAGCAAAGGGAATGAGGCTCTCATGGTGGTTTTCCTCCCTCAGTTCAGTGGGGCCTGCCCACCGTCTCTGCAGCTGGCGTCATCGGCATGCTCAGTGCGGTCGTCGCCAGCATTATTGAGTCTATCGGTGACTACTACGCCTGTGCCCGGCTGTCCTGTGCCCCACCGCCTCCCATCCATGCAATAAACAGGTATGTTCCCAAGAGGACAAGTTCCCCATGGGGTCTGGAGCCTGCTTACTTTGGTCTTTGGTTTAGGTAAGCTTGGAGAGGAAACTTAGAGTCTCAGCGGCCAGCAGGAGGACTAGTTATTGGCTGTTTATCCTTGGACAAGTCACTGCCCTCATCTGCTGCCCTTTTCCTCATCTGCGACAGAGAGCAGAATTACTGCCCTTCCTTGCTCACAGTGACAATCAAACGTGATCCTCTCTGTGCGACCACTTCAAACCTTAAAACAAATGCCAGGCATTGTCCTTGTTGTCTGCATGGTTTTGTGGCATTTTGATATATGTGTCTATTTCAATTTTCTGTTGTCTTTTTTGCCCAAGTCTTTTTTTTTTTTTTTTTTTTAAATATAAACTCAACTTTTAGATTCTTTGGAGTAAAATAGGCTCTACAGGGTTATTTCTGAGTTGCAAAACTTTTGTTTTTTCCCTGTATTCCCCTGTTCAATCTTAGCTGCTGTAATCAGACAGAAAGCACAAGGGCACTTTTTTCTTGCATGTGTAGTTTTGCCCAAGTTTTTTTTTTTTTTTTTTTTTTAAATATAAACTCAACTTTTAGATTCTTTGGAGTAAAATAGGCTCTACAGGGTTATTTCTGAGTTGCAAAACTTTTGTTTTTTCCCTGTATTCCCCTGTTCAATCTTAGCTGCTGTAATCAGACAGAAAGCACAAGGGCACTTTTTTCTTGCATGTGTAGTGGACACCTTAGCACCAGACAGTGGCTGCTCCAGTTCTGTCAAATTGATGCATTCCAGTTGTTCTTAAGGGTAGGTGCTGTGTAATCTATTCACAATTACAATTCCTATGAATAGGGATAGGAAGATCAGGAATAAATGAAAACTGCAGGATCTAGAGGTTTATGAGCTGTGGGTTTATGCTCCCAAATACTTGGTCTTTAGCTTCTGGAAGCTGATAGGGAATTGACCCTAAGGGGGCTACAGAGAAAAGAAAATAGCTCAGATCACCCACAGTTCCCCAACTGGCTTCTGCCTCTCCAAATTCTGTGTGTTGAGATCAAGGGGCTGGTTCTTAGCATGTCTTGCATTGGTTCTGTTGGGGTTTTCCAGTCCTAGTTTTTACATCTTTCTCTAGTGGAGCTGCTATATATGATTAACTTTCTTATTTATCGATTCTTTTAAAAGTTTCAATGTTTACAAAATTGCAAAACATTTCCTTTCTAATGAAACTGGATTTTAAAGTAAAGGATTAAATCAATATGTTTTATTTGTCTTAGACTCCAACAGATGGCTTTATTTTCTGGCTAAAAGTAATGAGTAAGAAAATCTATCTATAATGTGTGATTTAGGTGCTTCTTAAAATTGAAGAAGCATGGGGGATCCTGTTAAAATGTAGATTCTGCTTCAGCAGGTCTGTACTGGGGCCTGAGAGTCTGCATTTCTAACCGCATTTCCCAGGGGATGCGGAAGCTGCAGGTCTGTGGACCACACTTTTTTGGGTTGCAAACGTTTAGAGCGTATTTGAGTGCTTCCCCCATTGAATGAATGTTTCTCTTTCCCCCATCCCTTTACATTTTAGGGGGATTTTCGTGGAGGGTCTCTCCTGTGTTCTCGATGGCATATTTGGTACTGGGAATGGCTCTACTTCATCCAGCCCCAACATTGGAGTTTTGGGAATTACAAAGGTACAAACGTTTTCTAATGGTTGGGCCTCTAAGCATTCATCCATTTTACTGATCGGTCTGACCACTGTGAGTTCTAAAAAGAAGGGTCTCTGATTTCCGAGGTCAACTTCTCCCCCATCTACTTTTTGTTCTTTGGTAGGTCTTTGGAATGGCCTACTTGGAGGTCTCTCCTCCCTTGGCTGGCCTGGGTGGGGAGGCACTCAGGTGCTATCATTCCTTCGTGCGGTTTGCAAATATTGATTAAGCACCGACTCTTTACCAGGCTTCTGTTCTAGGCACTTGGGATGTATCAGTGAATAAAAGGTGGGTTTTACATTCCAGCAAGGGAGGACGATCAGCAATAAGCACAATGAGTCAGTGGATGATACAGTATGTCGGCCAGTAATAAGTATTGGGGAGAAAACATGGACAGGGTGGGGGGATTGGGAGAGGGCAGTTAAGTGTTACATAGGGGCCAGGCCTCATTGAGAAAGTGACCTTGACGAGGACCTGAAGGCTAGAGGAAGGAGCCTGGGGAAGAGGGTTCCAGACAGGGATATGGCCAGTACAGAGCCCCATCCTGGGAGTGGAAGGTCAGCAAGGAGGCCAGTGGGCAGGAGCAGAGCAAAGTAGGTATGGGGAGCAGTAAGGGCAGGTGAAGTCTGCCAGGTAGCACAGGCCTGTAGGCAGTCACAGACACTGAGTGGAAGGGGGTGCTGCAGGGAGCAGTTTCCTACGATGAGAGCAGACCATGGGGAAGGGGGGAGGTAGAAACAGGAGACTAATTTGGGAGGTGTCACTGGTTCTAGATGAGAGATGATACCACTCACTAGAGAAAATCCATTCTATGTTGAAGAATTAAAGTATTTTTCAAACCTTAGCAGCAGAATCCTTCTCTTTTAAATAAAATGTGATGTGGAGTCTAGCAGATAAGTCACAATGAATCACTCAGTGTAGCAGGGCCTGGGTCTGCAGTCCTACCCACTTGCCTCTCCTCCCCACCCCACCCCCAAACACTTAAACCTGGGGCTGCCCCACCCCAAAGTCCGGTTTCCATAAAAAGGAGCCTGCTCCCAGGCCTTTCAACTTTATTACTAGCAAATAAACTTTATATCCTATTGCCTTAGGCCAAGGAGTGCAGTTTGCCAGGGTGTTAAGAAATGCAGCTCGACCCACAGGGCATTGTATGTTGTGCAACTAGACACTGTTGTAACTGGTTCTCCATCCTTGATGGCCCGTATGACTCACCAGTCTCCTCACCTGAGGACTTTGGGGTGAGCCCGGAAACCTTCTAGAACTGTTTGACCTCTGAAAAATTGTAAAATTTCCAAAGAAATCTTACCCCCAGTTCCATGCAAGATTCTATAACCAGATGAAAGCAAACCACATACTAAGCTTGATTACTTTTGATTACAAGTCCAGGTGAGAGGGAGCTGCGTGCATGCACATGCACGCGTGGCTGTTTGTTCGTTATCCCTATGTCGGCAGGGCCGTGCCAGAGCTCAGCTTCAGGTGTGCTGATGGCCCTTTCTGCTGCCTGTTGCTCCTGGTGCAGGGCGGGTGAGAGAGGGCTGCCTGATGGGCACTTCCTCCAGCACCATTGCTGGGGCCCTACCACTGCCCACGGTGAGCAGCAAGTGCTGAGCACAGAGAGCTCAGGGAAAGGTCTGATGGGCACAGAATGGGGCATAAACCAGCCACTTCTCAGCCAGTTTGCTGCCAGGATCCTGTAGACATATAACTAATCCTGAATAAGACAGTCATAAAACTGTTGTAGATGGAGGCACGCTTAGGTTTGCAAGACAGTTAACAAGCCACCTCTTTCTGCACCCTTTTAAAATACATCATCACGGAACATAGCCAAGGTCACTCCAAGATCCCTGAAGGGAGTTAGCGCTTTAAAGTTCCCTTCTGGTTTGGGGATTAATTATCTTTATTAAATTTATTAAAATTTGAGTGGTGCCAGCTTATTTGGAAAAGGCACCCTGCCAGCACTTTTTAATGAGCTTACTGATTTTCCCTCTAAATTCCTTTGGGCCCAGCCACTGGAGCCACTTCCTTGAGGCCAAGGCGGCATCTAGTCCTGGGCAGAGTGTCAGCCCTGGAATCTGTTCTGCATCACCCTGAATCACAAGACTTGATTCCACAAGAAGAGGGGTATAATCGAGGTCACCTACATAGCCACCTTGGAACGGGGAAGTGGGGCTTGAGCAGAAATTTCTCTGTGGCCTGAGCCCTGCAGCTGATGGGAAGACCCCTGGCCAGGAGAAAGGAGGCTCAAGTTCTATGCCGTATTTTGTCCCTCATGCAGCCAGAGGACTTGTGACAAGTCACTCTTCCAAGTAGAACTCAGCCCTGAAGTCCTACAATTCTAGATCTAGATCTGTGCTGTCCAGTATAGTAATTGGTAGCCACATGTGGCTGTTTAAGTTTAAATTCTTTAAAATTAAAAATTCAGTTCCCCAGTGGCACTAGCATTATTTCAAGGGCACAGTAGTTATATGTGGCTTGATGGCTCTTAGTAGATAGCACAATAAAGATCATTTCCATTATTCTAAAAAGTTCTAATGGATAGCACTAGTCTGGACCACTGTACCAAATTATCAGGGCATATAAAAAGGGGATGATCTGTGTCTCTTCCAAAGAATCTGCCTCCATTTCCTGGCAACCCTAATATTTGCCATCTTTTATGCAGTAATTGCATTCTCTGTACATGGAATTTCTTATTTTTTTTTTTTTAAAAGATGACCGGTAAGGGGATCTTAACCCTTGACTTGGTGTTGTCAGCGCCACACCCTCTCAAGTGAGCCAAGCGGCCATCCCTATATACAGATCCAAACCCATGGCCTTGGTTTTATCAACACCACACTCTCCCAAGTGAGCCACAGGCCGGCCCTTGTACATGGAATTTCTAACCTGTTTGCTGAAGAGTTGTGGTTTCCTACCCCATAGTGTGTTCTGAAGTTCTGAGGAGTTGGATTCCATGTGCAGGACTTCTCTGCTGAGTGTGTTCCAATGTCCTACAGAGAAGGGCAGCATGATGTCTTAGGGAGGGTGACTGCTTTGGATTCCAGCACTGGCACTTTTTGCACCATGACCATGGGCAAGTTACGTCACCTCTTTGGGTCTCTGTGCCCATGTGTGTAAAGATAGCTTGCATGGTGTTAGAATTAATAACTTGATGTAAAAGTACTTAGCAGAGTCCTGGATGGAGAAGGTACACAGTAAGCTATAGGTATCATCATTGTAGCTATTTAGCTCTTCCTTCTCTTCTAGGAACAGAATAAATACCGTCTCCCTGGCTGTGGTATCTCTTTAGTGGTGTCCAGGGGGAAGGTCTTTTCTCTTTGAGGCATTCTATACTGTTGAAGACTTTAGAAAGTCAGAAACGCAGGGTCAATTTTCCGATGGTCCTAGAGACAGAGCTGCAGTTCAGGAAGGAGATCAGAAGGGAGGTGCGGAGGAGGTTGCAGGGAATGGGTAGAGTGTGAGGAGATGCAAAGGCCCTGTGCAGGCAGCAGGAGGGCAGGGCTTTCAGGGCTGTATCTCTGGTGTTCAGAACAAAAGCATACGATACACACTCAGTTCATAGTCATCTAACATAAGAATGGCTTGGTTGCTGTTTGTTTTTTTTGACAGTGTCAAAGGCAGATCAAGCTTCCTTGCATGGTTTCCACACAAGCATTATTATTTCAGGTGTCCCTAGGGCCAGCCTGGCCCATACCCCATTAGCCAACGGGGCTGCCTGAGCCTGCTGGGAGTCTTTGGGTAGGCTGTCCCTTCTGCCTGGATGCTCTTCTTCAGTGGACATTTACTCAGCCCTCAAAACCATCTCCAGCAACCTTCGACAACTCCAGGGTTTCTCCTCCTTGCTGCTGGGCTCCCACACAACAGAACAGTGTGGCAGTGCAGGGGTTTCATCACAGACTTGTGACTTACTCATATGTGCATCCTCCCATCCCGCAGTCTCACAAGTGCTGGTCACTGGTCCTCAAGAATGTTGGCTGTAAAGTGAGCCATTCGTAAACAAAAGGCTTCCTTATGTTGTCATAGCAGCCAAGCATGAACCAGTTTTTGTTGACTTTTCAGTTTGTGTGATCTTTTCCACTGCTTTTCTACCTTTCGTGGTGTGGGGAGGGGCTGGGTTGGGACAGTAGAGGCTGACAGTGTCAGCGGTGACTGAGTCCAGTTGGATGGCCATCTCCATATGCACAGTAAAAGACTAGGCTCTGGTGCCTCACCGGCTGACCCAGGGGTCCCTTGAGAACTTTGTGCAGCGTTGAAGTGTTCCATACCTGCACTATCCCATGTGCTCGCTACCAGCCACATGCACCTTGTGAGCACTTGAAGCATGACCAGTGCAAATGAGGAGCTAAATTTAAATTTTCATTTTATTTTAATAAAAATTTAAGTAGCAATCTTTTCCTCACCCTAAGTTGTATAGAATGCTCTGACGCTCCCCCAAATGTTTCTGGAACCTCCTTTACCCAGTGTACATTGTCAGTGTGTTTTCTTGGAAGTGGCTGTACAGAATAGGTGCCAACAGTGCAGGATTCTTGAGCCAGATGCCAACTCCACCCCCAGTTATTTGGGTTACAGGCTAGACAGAAACTTCTAGAAGACAGAGATCAGGTTTAACAGATAAGGATCAGACCACGTAGGAAATGCTATATACATGGAGCTGTGGAAGCCCAGAGTAGAGGAAGCCAAGTCCTTGAATCGAGGAAAGCTTTTCAGACAAGCAGCATTTGGGTTGTATATTAAAGGCTGTGTCTGGGAACTAGCCAGGAAAGGGTTGGGGGGAGGGGGATGTGGGTATGGGTTTCCAGGTGGACATGCCTGGACATACCTGGATGGGACACTGGGGTGAGGGCTGGCAGGTGTGGCTTTGTTGGGAGGAGTCTGATTTCATGAGAACCAGAGGGTTTAATCAGGGGACTGACACCCCAAATCAATGTGTTGAAAAGGTCTCTCCATGGCAGTGTAGGGGACAAATGGGTGGAGGAAAGGCCAGAAGCAGCAAGTCCAGGTGGGAGGCTGTCACGTAGGTCAGTGCTTGCCAGGCACCACTCAGGCCACATTATGCATCTCTCATTTAATCTTCAAAGCAAAACCACACAGTTTACCTGTTGAAAGACTCCCAGAGAGGCTAAGTCACTTGATGGACACACAGTCAGGGGCGGAGCAGGGACATGAGCCCAGAGCTCTACGTTCTTTGGCCCCTACACGATGCCACCTCTTGTGAGCAAGACACTGTGAGGAGAGGAGGTTCCGGCGTGTTGGGGGATTTTCTCTGGCTTGGGATGTGGGAAAGATGGAGTTGATGCTATAGTGCTTTGGGGTGGGTTGACGTGGTGAAGGTTGGTGTCAGGAACCCAGGAGAGAAGCAAGGCGAAGTGTAAATTTTGTATTTGAGACTCCAGAGGGCCATCCTGGCCCGATGACCAAGTGAAGACATTGGAGACCCAGGGCTTGAGCATGGGGTGAAGTCACCTGGGTGTGGAGAAGCAGAGGCCAATTCCAGGGCTACCCACAGTCAAGGCACCAGGCAAGAGAGGAGTCAGCCAGCAGGGGGGACAGGGAAAGGCGGCAGGAATCTCTACTCGGGGTTTGTTTATAGTAATTTATAGAAATTGTGTATTGAGATCAGTCCCTGTTAACTGAAAGTTTAAAGAGCGTCTAGGTTTTGCCTGAGGATCGTGTCACATGTGCCCTGGGTCCTGGGAGGCTGCCAGAGGACGGCAGGGTGAGGCCATGTCCACCCTCTGCTGTGTCCACAGGTCGGCAGCCGCAGGGTGATTCAGTATGGCGCAGCCCTCATGCTTGCCTTGGGCATGATCGGGAAGTTCAGTGCCCTCTTCGCGTCTCTCCCGGATCCTGTGCTCGGAGCCCTCTTCTGCACCCTCTTCGGTAAAATCTCTCTGCCTGGGTAGGGGCTTCCCTCTCAGGCTCCTTTCTTTGAGTGGATCATGGTGTTTTTAGACTCCCTTCAGTAAGATTGAAGGTAACAGTAAATTTTCATTTTAAAATGCAAAAGGATATGCCTTCAAAAAATGAAAACCTACATCACTCTCCGAGTTGAATTTGTTAAAGGTAGAACCAACAGTAAGAACAGTTATGTGACAAAAATTAAGATTAAATTTAGTGTCTTTAGTGTTCTAATTGCTTTAACTCAAATATCTTTCCCTGTGAATGAGCCATTTAAAACTGGCCATTTTTTTTTTTTTTTAAAGATGACCAGTAAGGGGATCTTAACCCTTGACTTGGTGTTGTCAGCACCACGCTCAGCCAGTGAGCGAACCAGCCAATCCTATATGGGATCCGAACCTGGGGCCTTGGTGTTATCAGCACCGCACTCTCCCGAGTGAGCCACGGGCCGGCCCCAAATCTGGCCATTTTTACAATAGGACTGGATTTGATCTCTGTGCAATTACTTGTAGGAATCAGACACATCCCAGATATTTGGGTGGGTTTCCCAGTTTAATTGAAACGTTTGCTTAGAGGGAAAACCTATATCCTTAGTTTTCTACTTGATCTTAAGAAAAGTAATGTGATGTTTATGCCCGTGTTCAAGGCCAAATTGTGCTCAGGCCAAGGGTCATTTGGATCAGAGACTGGGATGCTCACGTTCTAGCCCCACAGTTCTCCTGCTTCCTGTCACTTGCACTGGTCTCCTGGTTTCTTTCTGATGGACAGAGAAAAGACACTAGGCAGCCTTGGATTGCCGTGAGTAAGTAATCTGTCACTCTCGCTGGAGGCAAACGTAATGGAACTTGTGCTCTGGTGTTTTCTCTCCAGGAATGATCACGGCTGTTGGCCTCTCTAACCTGCAGTTCATTGACTTGAATTCTTCCCGGAATCTCTTTGTGCTTGGATTTTCAATCTTCTTTGGTCTCGTCCTTCCAAGTTACCTCAGACAGAACCCTCTCGTCACAGGTGAGGGAAATAGACCTTGAATCTTGGGAGGAATTGAAACCACAGCTGCCGATTTACAAACAGCTCTTCACCAGTGGGGGAGGACTTTGGAACTTCAGGAATTGTTGTGGTGAACACTTGTCTATGCATCTCTTTTGAATCTTTCTTTGTAGCAGTTTATCCAAAAGCCCTCTGGGCTTCCCACATAAGCTGGCAGGTACATATAACTGATGTGGATCTTAAGGTCTCTCTCTCTTTTTTTTTTTTTTTTTATTACTGGGATCCTTCTTGTGGGAGAATGCATCTCTGTAAAACCTTTTGATTTCTCAGACTAATACTATGTTAAGATCTTAACATAGACTTTGAAATACATATTTCAAGATTAACTGTTTTAATTCCTACTTTTTATTTGCATACCCTTATGTAATGAAGAATGAACAAAAGGGGAACTATCTTAAGAAACAGCTATTGCTACCTATAATTTTGTTTTAGCAAGTGCAGAATTGGGGACCATTTTTTTAATATATTTTTTTTCTAGGTGAAATTCATGTAACAGTATTAATCATTTTAATAAAGTGAATAGTTCAGTGGCATTTTTACATTCACAATATTGTACAACCACCACCTCCATTTAGTTTTCAAAACATTTTCATCACCCCAAAATAAAACTGGATATTCAGTAAACTGTAAAACTCCCATCGTCTCCCTTTCCCTCAGCCCCTGGCAACCACCAATCTGCTTTCTGTTTCTATGGGTTTAACCGTCCTAGATATTTCATATAACTAGGATCATACAATAGGTGACCTTTTGTTTCTGGCTTTTCTCACTTAGCATAATGTTTTCAATGTATACATGTTGTAGCATGTATAAATACTTCATTCCTTTTTATGGCTGAATATTCCATGGTATGTATATACCATAATTTGTTTATGCATCTATCCACTGATGGACAATTTTGGTTGTTTCCACCTTTTGGCTATTGTGAATAGATAGTGCTGTTAGGAGCATTTTTGTACAAGTACAATCAATTCTCATTATTCATGATAGTTACGTTCTATAAAGTTGCCACAGACACCGAATTAGCAAATATTGAACCATTGCCCCTAGGGGAAGTACGGCCAACGGCACTATAACTCATGCCTGAGTGAATCTTATCTAACACATCTTATCTTTTCTCTGTAAGACACATCACAGCCTTCTTGTGTTTAGGAACACTAGAGAGCATGTCAGCACAACCCTTGGTTTATCTTTGGCAGCTGGCCTACTGGGATCCAAACCCTTGACCTTAGTGTTATAACACCATGCTCCAATCAAATGAGCCACCAGCCAGCCCTTTATTTATTTATTATTATTATTATTATTATTATTATTATTACCAATCAAATGAGCCACCAGCCAGCCCTTTATTTATTTATTATTATTATTATTATTATTATTTTTTTTTTTTCCTTCTTGTCTTTTTTCGTGACTGGCAACGGATCGCAACCCTCAGTGTCGCGCCCATACCGGACCGGGACCGGCAACGGGATCGCAACCCTCGGTGTTGCTCCCGCACCTCGCTCAGCCAGTGAGCGGCCGGTCTGTATGTGGGATCCGAACCCTCGGCGGGAGCGCCGCTGCGCTCTCAACGGCGCACTGTAGCAGTGCGCCACCGGGCCGGCCCTATTATTATTTTTTTTGGTGGCCATTTTAAACACTGAAATTGCCAACAAAAAGCACTAAGTGTGAGAAATGTGTTCTAAAGAGACTGCAAAAAGGGCGCTTGTTTACAGTATAAGAGTGAAACTAGAAGGCAGAACGTCGCTTTGTTTGACCTCAGCTGGGAATATGTGTGTCAGGCGACTCAAATTCTTCCCAGCTCTGTGTGTGCCCGTGAATGTCTGTGAAAGTGCCTAGAGTATCCATTTGGGGATTACAAATAAATTTTAGCACATAGGCAAATTCATAAATATGGAATCCTAGAATAATGAGCACAGATTGTATGGTTTTGAGTACCTGTTTTCAGTTCTTCTGTGCATATACCCAGGAGTGGAATTGCTGGGTCATATGGTAATTCTTTTTATTTTTGGTAGTTGGCTGGTGTGGGGATCCGAACCCTTGACCTTGGTGTTACAAGGGGGTTATATGGTGATTCTATGTTTAACTTTTTGCGGAGCTGCCAAACTTTTCCACGATGGCTGTACTGTCTCATAATCCCCCAGCTGCACGAGGGTCCTTATTTCTCCACATCCTCGCTAACAGTTGTTATTTTCTGTTGAGGATCATTATATTTTAAGTATAGAAAGTGTGTGAACTTCCTAATTATAAAGAGTTTCTTGCTGCTTTTTACATTTTAGTATACCAAGTTCATGGAAGGACATCTTTATAAATCTATTTGTTCCTGATTAAAAGTAGCTAAGCACTAATTAGTAACATATTTGTAATATTTGCAATCAAGCAAGGGTTTTGAAAACCCTTGCTTGATTGCAAATATTACAAATATTTTTGTTGTCTTATTATTCACTTTGTAATTTTTTTCAGCCTTACAGCAGCCATTTTTTAAAGTCTGCAGATAATACCCTAGTTCATTATAGGGTGAACATCTTTCTATTAGATTCATTTTCTATGGACTTCTGTTAGGAATTTTTCTTACGGAGATACCTTTGGATTATTGTTGAAAGTATTCATGGTAGTTTAAAATATTATTGGCAAAAATTTATCTACACATGTACAGTTGAGAAATTTATACTTTCATACACTGCATTGACTGTTGGAAAAGTATATTTCTTTCTGAGTCAAGGGCAGGCCCACCCTGTCTGCAGCGATGACCCTTTTGGCCATGTTCTGTTTCTAGGTATAACAGGAATCGATCAGGTGTTGAATGTTCTTCTCACGACTGCTATGTTTGTAGGAGGCTGCGTGGCTTTTATTTTGGATAACACTATCCCAGGTATGTGGTATATATCAAACATGCTTATTACATATGTGAGTTATTTTTTGCTAAATAAAATGGGAAGCGGGAGGAGTAAATCAGTTCAAAGCCATCACTGATTAAAACTGTGTCCTAAAACGATTGAGATGACACTCCCAGCCTCACATATGAATCAGTTTTTTGCTAATAAACTTATTAATTTTGGTTCTTTTGCTGGATGGCATTTAAGAAACAGCAGGTGAACTGCCCGTGTGGGGAGAGGTGGCAGGGAGATGCCTTGAGCACACCCCGGGCTCCTACCTCCCCTCACAGGCTGAGCCCAGTGCCCTGGCATGACTTCCATCAGTTCCTTCACGCACTCCTCTGAGCCAGCTGGTAGCCTACACCACTTCTGCTTGGGAAGCCTGTCCTTTAAATGAGTCCTTCCCAAGGCCAGCTAAGACCACAGGACAGTGGAGGACAGTGGACAGAGGCTGAGATCAGTGATGAGGGACTGCAGAGGGCTCTGTCTCTCCAGAACCCACGATCCCTGTTCATTGGTGTGTTCTGTGCCGAGCACTGGGTGACAGGCTAGAGTGTGAGGTGGGCCCTGTCTTGGAGCCTCCCTAGTTTCCTAGAGGCAGCTGCTGTGGCACGCTGGTAGACTGACCTGCCTTCATGGAAGGGTGATGCTTATTCTTGGGCTTGAAAGATTTGTTGATATTTTTCCCATAAAGTATTCCTCCTTCAAAAAACCTCAATCAAGAGGTTGCTAGGGACATCAGGGATGGAGACTTCAGGTGGAAGGAATCACACACTTGAGTAGGTGGAAGGTGTTAGATTTAAGAGGGTTAATAACTAACACCCTCTTCCTCTCCTAAGTCAGAACTAATTGAAAGGGGTGGAGTCAGGCGGATGGAAATTAAACTCAGCTTAATTACTGAAACGCTGATGGCAGGGCATAGCTTAGATGTACAAAAAATTTATAGGCTTCCTAAATACTGCACCATAGAATCAGACTCATCTCCCAGGTTCAGGCAGAGAAGCATATTGTTAGGTATCTCACGTAGCCAACAGCAGATGCCAGTGGTCCTCCCTACACTGGGAAAATCTGGGAAAAGAAGTCCAAGAGTTGCTGAGCCCTGTTTGCCTAGATCTTTCTCCCAGACTCATCTGTCAGGGTACAGAGTAGCTAGGAAGTGTTGCTCCAGTGGAAGTTCACCCTCACAGGAGCACAACCAGTGGGGAATACATGACAGATGCAACCTCCACCTACCACACACACACAAATGGAGCAAAGCAGTGTAGAACTTAGGCATGTCTGGAGGGGGCTGAGTGTGCAATGGCCAGTCGATGAAGGTATTGTATGACATAATGAAGACTGCATGCCGTTTTGCAAAGCTCCAATTTGCATTTTAGAGAGTTATTCTTTGCACAGTATTTGAAAACAGATTAAGGGGAGCAAGTGGTGAGATGGAAGACTGGATGACCAGTTAGGAGACCAGTACAGTGACCAGGAAAGCAATACCATGGCTTGGGCTGGACCTCCTCAGTGAACATTGACAGCAGGGTCACGTGAAGGGACAGAGAGGAAGTGAAGTCATCAGGAGATTGCTTGAATGTGGAACAGGGAGGGGCTGGTGACTCTTAGCTGAGCAGCTATAACTCCTCAGGTGTTCTTTGCTGTCACCTGGGCAGGATTGATCCTCAGGACAGCATATTGGAGAGTCTTGTTCTTGGTAAGACTGTTAAATTAAGCATTCCTTTGTTTTGTTTTGGTGTGTGTGTGACAGGTACTCCTGAAGAAAGAGGAATCAGGAAATGGAAGAAGGGCGTGGGCAAGGGGAACAAGTCGCTCGATGGCATGGAGTCCTACAATTTGCCATTCGGCATGAACATTATTAAAAAATACAGATGCTTCAGCTACTTACCCATCAGCCCAACGTTTGTGGGCTACACGTGGAAAGGCCTCAGGAAGAGCGATAACAGCCGGAGTTCAGATGAAGACTCGCAGGCCACGGTATAGCCTTAGCTGCGTCCTGTGGCCTGGCCACAGTGAAGCATGTATCTGTAGTTCCTTGCTGGGTAACAAGAAGTAAAATATATGTTTGTATATCTACATTTACATTCTGCACCCCAGAGCTAAGACAGATTGCAGGTAGCTTTTCTGTTGTGAGTGGTGATTGTGTCCATGATGTCTTGCCCAACTCCTTATTTAAGCCCTTGACCCCTTGCCCTTCACAAGTGTCCACTGCTGGCCGTGGTCACTGAACTTGAAGTTCCAGTCCTCCCATGGGGGCTGATGTTTGAAATCTGCAGCGATTCCTTTTTCTGTCCCTTTCTACCACCCAGTGCTAGCTTTCCTACAAGCTGCCTCCAGGGTCCAGGGGCTTTCTGTTTTGGAGGCCTCGGACCTACTTACTTTTTATTTGATCTTGGCCTGTGCCTGCAGAGACCTCCTCTGACCAAGGGACACCAGTGTCCTCTCATTGTTGCCATTAACTGGTCAAGTGTGATTCTGTTGTCCCTGACACTCTTGTAGGAGGAGAAGAGCAGGGGAATGGCTGCTCTCTGCCTGGGTCTGGGCATGTTTAAGGTCTGTACAGTTAGCGATGGATGGAAATCTACGTGAGGGATTGGAGGGGAATGGAAAGGACCCTAAAGTCGTTATTTGATTCTTGACTTCTCTTTTTCCCTGCCACCCTGGCCCACCTGTGCCAGCATGTTTCATACTGACCTCTTTTCTCTAGTGGCTGAGACACACTCTGTGGCATTTATCACTACTGGCTGGTGTGACGGGTATGGCGTGCCACACAAGGGCACTGATCAGATAAGCTCATGGGAATCTTGGCTCTGCTGTTATGTGGATGTTATTGTTATGTGCGTCTATGATTACAAGGTTATATTCCTATTTAATGTTATTGACTATAGCAGATTTTTGAAATCAGTGTTTTTCCACATGACCCTCTTTCCTTGCATCCCTATTATTCATCCCCTTCCCCCTGCCCTTTCCACCGATTAAGAAAAGAACCAGCATTTGTAAAGCTGTGGACACCATCAGGAAAGCTTGTTTTAATGGCTTTTGAAGGCCAGTAACCATTGTTGTGGTTGTGTTTTGTATTGCTTGATACCATGAATGTGTAAATACTGTAATGCCTAATCTATTTATCAAAACTGACTACTGGACCAGAGCCCGGAAACCATGGGTCAAGTTTTATGTGAATTTGTTTTGTGAAGGGAGGCTGGGTAGGTGACAGACAGAGCCACCATAGTGAATGGTCCATCATCCCAATCAGTTCATCAATCCAGTTCTCCTGTTGCAAGTCATTTCTGGCAGTCGTGGCTAAGGACTGTGGGTTGTTACATTTCTGTGGCTTGTTACATTGCATGTCCTTTAGATCTTGATTTTGCAGAGGGTAAGCTTAGATCCCTTAGCCAAATACTGCTTTTCTCTTAAGTTGTTGCAGAAAGTGGTGAGAAAAGCAGCTGGCAGGCTCCCTCTGTTAAGAGAGTTCTGATTAATAACACCAAATTCTTTATGAAAAAAATGACTTCTATTGAATTCGAAGTTTTTCAGCCAAAGGAAAAGTTTGAGACATAAAGTGGTGACCTTGCTTCATGAGGTTGTGCTTCTTAAGTGGTCATTGACCTGACCAAGCTTTGGTGGGCAGCAGGTGTTCCTGTCTCCACAGCAGGGCCGTGTGTCTACACAGTTGCATCTCCTGCCTCCCTGGCTCAGGCCGGCTTGGCTTCCCCATGCTGTGATGTCTGTGTGTGTCACTGCAGCCCCTTGACTCCCGGGAGTTTGGGGCTTCGAGGTTTATTATGTTCAGAACATCTCAGCACCACTGCTTTGTTTTGCCAAAATCTTACTGCAGATTAAGTAAAGAATTAGATCCTAAATTATGTTTAGTTTTGTATGTTTTTTAAATGCATATGCAATATATAGTTACTTTAGATGCACACTGGTTAACAGTCTTGTCCTCTTAATTTGACAAGCCTCGAGACTGACAACTCTCCTACACCAAGTTGCTCTCATTTTCTTCTATTTGTATCTTGCGTAGCAGCTCCAATTTCTGTGCTTTGAAAAATGGGGACAACTGCTAAACATCCTATAGATTTGCAATATTCTAGCTCTGTAGATGAGCAGAAGGACCAAACATCCCAATAAAAGCATCCATACCATCGGGAATTCAAGAGGAAGTTCTCTTCAGTGTAACTGGGCATCTTGCCTCCCAGTGAGTAACACCCAGATTGTGTATTTCAGATGGCAAGAAACCCACTCCCTTCGGAAACCCCTCCTGGGGCCGGGTTTTATCTGTAGGCTTCAAACCTGCTAGTCTGGCAGATGTCTCTACGAGCATTCACATGGGGAGGGAAACCCTGCACCCATACCTCCCATTGGAAAGAGGGTTTCTGCCCTTCTTGTTCTATTGAGGCCAACTTTCATATTCTTCCCAAGCAGGGGGAAGGACCCGTGAGGTGGGGAGAAAAGAGGGAGTCTGACTAGACATCCTGATTGAGCCTCGTACTTTCTGCACAGCCTTAAGTGATTGGAGTCTCCTAATAATTAATAAATCTTGCCCATGCATCACATACACAGACCATTTTAGGAAATGCTCCTTCTGCTAGCAGATGTGCTGTAGAATGAAAGTCTGTAAGTGAAAGAAAAAGAATGTCCTCATCTGTTTCTTGAGTTTAAGCACACACCTGAGGGGAGGTTTTGGGGGACACGTTATTGGCCTCCGTTACTGAGCCGCATACCGCCATGCTTTGTTTTGCCAGTAGAAAGTTATAAGATATTTTCGATGTGAATGTCTTTGCAGGCCGTTCAGTCTCCAGTTTACACTTACCCACCACCTTCACAGGTCAACGGCCTGGTCCGTGAAAGGAAGCATTTGAGTTAGTGATCCCAATGTGAATGTCTTTGCAGGCCGTTCAGTCTCCAGTTTACACTTACCCACCACCTTCACAGGTCACCGGCCTGGTCCGTGAAAGGAAGCATTTGAGTTAGTGATCCCAACGTGGGAAGCAGAAAGTATTCATAAGGACAGGAGATGGTGCCATATTCACAGTGGGGGCGGGGGGACCACAACCCTGGATCACAGAACGATGGGAAATGAAGCTCCAGTCTTCGTAAATGATTTTCATTCTCATTAGGGAGTTAAACTTAGATTCAGTAATACATTTACTTTCAAAATCCTTCTTGAGTGTTTCGAATGTTCACTTTTAATTAGTTTCTTGGGATTGATCCAGGCAAGAGAAATGGCACAACTGCACCAGCTAGAACGGAGCGTCATACGTCCTCGTGGTTTCCCGTTTTCATGGCAACAAATTCACACACAGGATTTGCTTTATACTGTAGAATACTGACTCTCATGATGACAACTTGCTTTATGCATGAATATTGCAGTATTTCCATATAGTAAAATAACATTTCTACCCAGGATAATAGTCAGTTTTCCAGGGAGGGAATGATATAATTTTCATGACAATGTCATGTGATGATAGAATTTCTCCATTGATGAATCTCTAGTGTGTGTGTATACTTTATTTACCCATACATATATTTTATGACCATGAGCTAACTCATTATTCCTTTCATTCATGTTCTTGCTAAAATATTGGTACTAGCAATTTAGATTTAAAGTTGGCAAATCTAATCTTCAGTAATATCGATGCCACAAAAGTGGCTAGGCCAGAGAGAAGGTGAATAAGGAGCCGTCTGGCCAGAGGAGAGGCAGCGTCCTGCAGGTGGCTGTACTAGGGGTGAGGGCCTGCCCACCCAGCTGTCGCTGGACGCCAGCTGTACACACCCAGTCAGTGCCTGGCTCCCGTGCCTGGGCACCCACAGAGGTTGCTTCTCCAGGGAGCCTCCCCTTGGCTTTAGAGCAGAGGTTGGGGTTTCACTTGTTGCATGTTGTACTCTGTCCCCTTATGATTTGGACATAGAGGATAGGACATCTCCCACCCTCCACTCCTCCTGCAGTCAGGCACCAGGCAGTGTAAGAAGGCCGCCCATTTTTGCCAGCATTCAGCTTCCGCCCTTGGACCCATAAAGCGCGTTCGCACTGGGGGTCCCTCTTCAGCAGCCTCACAAACATTCCTGTCCTTTTAGGTTGTTGTAAACCCTGCCTCCTCGTCACTCTAACATCCAGCATCCTTAGAATTGCCGTGTGTGTGTGTTTCAGGCACGTAGGACACGCTTACCAGCATTGCCATCTTACTGACAGTTCTAAGCATCCTTCTCTGTTTGTTCGTAATCACCTTCATTTGACACATTAATAAATTTCTGACTGTTCTTAAAACAGTGGGGATGCCTATATTTTCCTTGAGTTTTTGTGACTGACTTTAGCTATATACCCTTCTGGGATTTTGTTTGTTTATTTTTATTTTACATACTGAGGGTATTTGGGGTGGGGTTGTTTTTTGAGATGTGTAATTCTTTTATGGAGTTTTTAAAAAGAATTTTCATATTGTTTTTCTAACATGGCTTCATTAAACGTTTAAGTATTTTAAAAAATATGTAATATTTGGACCAGATGTTGTGAATAATAGTAGAGATAAAGCTATTTTATTCTGTATTTTTAAAACTGTTCCGTACAAATAAAAACTCCTGGATGCAGTTTTGCTGTTCACGTACTTCTTCCTTTGGCTGGTTTCTAAGAAAACTTTTTTATTGGAAGTCATCTCCTGGGGGAGGGAAATTGATAAGAAATTCAGTTCATCGAGTTCACAGGCATTATCATTGTCAGACACCTGGAAGACTGAACAGTGAAAACTGGAGGGAAGGTGCTGTCAGTCCTCCTTCCAGAGAACCAGTGACGTGGGCAGGGTCCATGGCAGGATGGGGAGGGGGGAACTGAGATCCCACACGTGTCAAAAAGTTAGAGAATGCACTCGGGGTGGACTTTGGGGGTGAAATAATGAGTCTGTAATTGCAGCAACAACATCTGGAGGCTGGAGACATTTTGGCAGTAGCGACCAGAAAGGCTGTATGTTCACATGGTTGGATCAGAGGGTCCCAGAGAAGCCTTGGACCCTTTCAGGCCATCTGAGTATTCAGAGTGGGCCAGAAAATGCTGAGTTGTGGGTAGCAGAAAAGGACTGAGAGCAGCTCCTGAGTCTGACAAGCTCCATTCAGTGTGTGGCATGGCTCCCTGGCAGGGTATTGGTCCAGATGTGCTTGGATGCACTTTTTAATTTAGAGCAAACTTAGAACTACCCCATTCCTATCTTCACCTCTGACTCTTCTCTGTCAATTGGGGACATGAGTAACCACCGCAGCTACTCCTGTAAGGTTTGCAGCCTGCTGCCACCCATTCCCCGTATCCTGACCCGAGAGCCGCTGCTGGAGAATCCATCACAGATGGATCATTTTACCTTAAGTTATATACATGCAAAAAGTATCTGTAAGGTATTAAAAAGTAACAAAAAGAATACCCACGTTCCCACCCCCAGCTTGGACCACAGCCCATTATTACTTCAGAGCCCCCTGCACTCCGCGGACCTCTTGCCCAGAGAGCCACTTTCCCTGCTTTTCTTCACAGTTTTGCCATATGTCTGTGTCCCTAAGCAATTTAGTTTTGCATGTTTTTGAACATTATGTGACAGGAATGTTATAATGCATGTATTGTTACATTTTACTCAGTGTCGTGAGATTCTTTCATGTTAATACATCTTTTTTATGTAGTTCATTCATTTTCACTGTTGGGTAGTACAATTTAAGATTAACAAAGACAAAGCATTCTGAAGTGTCCAGAGAGAATGAGCAGATCCAAAATCTAAAGAGCTGGGGTCCAATGAACATCAGATTTTTCAGCAGCAACATTCTTTTGGGAGTTACATATTTTAAGGGCTGAAGGAAAAGAATTTCGAACTTAAAATTTTATGTCCAGCTACTCGAAGGCCCACGTTTAAATACTTCTGGTTGAAGTACTAAAATATGAAGAGAAACAACCTAGGAAGTGCTGTAGGAGAGAACTGAGGGAAAGGTGAGCAATAAATGTGGAAAACCTGGTTGTTAAGAAGTGAGAACCAAAGGAAAGAAAAAATATATCCATAATGATTTCAGGTTACAATTTGAGGCCATATCAACATAGTTAACAGGGAAAGAGGAGGCTTATCGATGTGAGCTAGAAACAGGTCCAAATGTACCAATAAGTATAAATGAACCAAATTCTCCAGATAAAAGATTGTTGGACTAGATAACAAAAGTCCTGATATGTGCTATTTACAACCATGGTATTCAAAAATGTGGTCTGTGATTGGTAGAGGCTGCAACAAGATATGTTCAGAAATCGATAGTGTCTAGAAACTTTATAAAGGTTTCTAAGCAATTAGACAGTTAAGCAATTTGACGTTTTATGTATGTTGAATCTAATACTAAAATATTTAGACTTACGTATCAGCCTGCCACAAAATAAACAAACAAATAAATTCTGGGCTTATATGTTTCATGTCTTTTAATTCCAGAATCTTATTTATTTTAAAAATATTTTGCCAAAATTTTAGTCTATGATGGATCAGGAAAAGCAAAAACCAACTGATCCTTCACCATGGATGTTCTGAGAAGCACTGTCTGCAAGAGACTCGTTTACATAAGGACATGCAAAATTGAAAGTAAGAGGATGGGGGAAAAATTACACTGGGCAGAATTACTAACCATCTATTATATTACCTCAGACAAAATAAAAAGCATTGTTAGGGGTAGGGAGGTTCATGATGTAATGGTAGAAAGGTTCAGTTTACAAAGAGGAGTCAGTTTTAAACACATGCATCTAGACAGATAGCTTCAAAGTTCACGCAGCATAAATGGATAGAAATGTAGGAAGAAACTAAGTCCACCTGCTGGTGGAAGATTCCAACACCTTACATTAGATGAGTAAGGAAGGCAGAAACTAAGCAAGATTTGAAAGCAACCAGAGGGCATCTTTAGAACTTTGCATTCAACGATTACAAAATAGACATTCTTCACAAGCACTCGGGAATATATCTAAAAATTGCTCCTGTTTTAGGCATTAAAGTAAGCCTCAAAAAATTTTGAAAAATAGGTACCATACAGAACATTTTCCCTAACTATACACAGTTAAGTAAAAATGTAAATAAAAATTCCTGAGTATGTGGATGTATAAAGTATTGCTAGACAGCTGACTAGTTAAAGAAGAAACCGGTAATGGAAATGTTCTTTAATGAAGTGTGTGGTATTTCCTCTGTTGGTTCTGTTCTCGCTTTCCTCTAGAATTCTGATTTTACATTCATACTGCATCTCTTAGATCTCTACTAGTTAAAGAAGAAACCGGTAATGGAAATGTTCTTTAATGAAGTGTGTGGTATTTCCTCTATTGGTTCTGTTCTCGCTTTCCTCTGGAATTCTGATTTTACATTCATACTGCATCTCTTAGATCTCTTAAGTTTCCTATAGTTTCACTCGTAGTATCTTTTTCCATTTCCTCTAAGTTTTAGGAGAATTTCCTGAGCAATTACTAAATCACTGAGTTTGTAGAGTATCCAACCTTTTGCTCATGCCTTTAAGTAGTTTTAAAATAATTTATTTTCATCATTTTCAAACATACTCAAAAGTAGAGAGAATAGCATGATAAACCCATATGTGCCCATCACCCGGCGTAACAGGGATGGACCCTGGGGCCAATCTTATTTCATCTACACCCCTCCATGTCCCCTCTCGTGTTTTTTTAAAGCAAATCCCAGATACATCACTTCATCTATAAATATTTCAGTAATTATAATGAAAAGATGGTCTTAAAAAAAAACAAATACAATGATCATACCTTTAAAAATTAACAGCTTTTTTCCAGTGCAGTCAAACAATTAGTTGAGGTTCAAATTTCCAGTTGTTTCATAAATGTTTGAAATAGGATCCACATAACGTCTACACTTCACTATGGGTTGTTAACGACCTCCGCCCCCCAACCCCCACCACGGTCTCTCTCTCTCATGCTCACTTGCTCTCTTCCTCACAACGTCTTTGTTGAGCAGTTTATTTGTACTGCAGTTTTCTACAGGAGATGTTGGAATGCACTGCCCTATCCTGTTCCTGTGCCCTTGGTGTCTCTTTGGTCAGATTATCTGGGAGAGGACAGAGCGCTACTCTATAAGCAGCTGTGTGTCCTTCCAGTGGGAGCGTATGATGTCTGGTGGTCTCTCTATCGTGATGTTCACAGCCATGGATGCTCAGTTCCCAGATTGAGGAGTTTATTAGGGTGAGCACTGCATTTTAAAATTTGGCTCTGTTATTTGGATTTCAAATTAAAACACGATCTTCCACAATGAGATCTTTTCATAGGCTCAGTATTCTCTCAAGTCCCATTGAAAATACATCTTAGAGACTATAGTAGTCCATTTTTGTGTTGCTATAATAGAATACCTGAGACTGGATAACTTAAAGAGATTTATTTGGCTCACGGTTCTGGGACAAATGCATCTGGCAGGGGCCTCAGGCTACTTCTACTCATGGTGAGAAGCAGCAGGCAGCTGTGGGTGCAGGATCACATGGTGAGAGGAAGTTAGACAGAGACAGAGCAGAGATGCCAGGGTCCTTTGAACAACCAGCTCTGATGGGAACTAAGAAAAGCTCATTCACCACCCCCACCCCTCAGGGTGTTAATCTATTCATAAGATATCCGCCCCCCATGACCTAAACAGCTCCCTATATTGCCACATTGGTGATCAGATTTTGACATGAGTTTTGGGGGGACAACACATCCAAACTCCATCAGGGACTTTGCTTGAAAGTGTTCTCACATTGCATATATTTCATAGGAATGCATTTCTTCCAGTTCATTAGAATAGGCCCTTCTTTAGGGATATTGAAACTTTTCACATATCTGGTTATTTTCTTTCTGACTGCATTTACTAATAACTAAAAGAGGTCTGTGTTTGTTCAAAGTAGGACTTGCAGTGGATTTGATGATATTTCTTTCCCCAGAGCTCATCTCATGAGTTGATGATAAAATCCTTTAGACCATTTGAGTTGACCTGTTCTTGGGCCTGCTTCAGTTTGGTTCCATCTGTGTCCACTTACCAGACTCTTGTTTAGACTCACCATAGATATTCTTCTAATGCTTCAATTTTATTAGATACCTTCATATTTATGTGAATGTGTGCTTAAAAGAGAGGAATGAGAATACACTCCAAAATCTTTTATCATTATCTTTGGGAGGTGGGATTGTGGGTTACTTTCATTCCTTTTTAATTTTTATTTTCTGTATTTTCTAAGTCTTCTCTATTACAAATACAAATTACTTGTGTAAATTTATTTTCAAAGATTAAGCTCTTTCCTCTCTGAATAACATTGTAAAGCCAGTAGCAAGTATAAATTATATTATAAATATAGTGGTCCCTACTTATCTGTGACTTTGCCTTCCAAGGTTTTAGTTACCTGCAATCAACCTTTATCTGAAAATATTGAATTATTTTCAGAGAGAGAGGCCACATTTGCATAAGTTTATTATAGTATATTGTTACAATTGTTCTATTTTATTATTAGTTATTGTTGTTAATCTCCTACTGTGCCTAATTGATAAATAAAACTTTATCATAGGTGTGTATTTATAGGAAAAAAACAGTATACATAGGGTTCGGTACTATCCGTGGTTTTAGGTA